AGAGGCCCCCTTTGAGGCCGGGCGGGGGGGTCCCGGCCCCAGCCCCAGCCCCAGCGCCGCCCGCTCGCAGCGGGCCCGAGGACCAGCTCTACGCCCCATCGTTTGAGCGCTGAAAGCCACCGGTTTCTGCCAGAAAACAACAGCTATCTTATGAAGCGGGGAGTTATCAGATTAGTCAGCAAACCATGCCACACATAACTCCCGCTAAAGGTACAAGCGACTCCCTCTTCTGTAGCGGTTATGCTAAAAATACACCCTGATGTACCATAGAAAGGCACAAAAGTTTCTCTTACATGTTCTTTATTTATGGCTTATGCCTTTAAGAAAAATATATCACGCATGCAGAAATACAGATACGCTATTATAGAATTATAAGCTTCCCGATAGCCACTGTGACAATCAAGGTTTTCTTTAAATATATATCCAAAATCAGGGTAGAGGGTGACGCTGACAGAAATGCCGAAATACAGCAAAGCGGGCTGCACATGTGGCATCTGTGAACGCCGGCGAGAGATCTAAGTGTCCGTGAACAGAGGCTGAAACAGAATTACAGCGGGGCATATGTAAGTTTACCTCCGCTTATGTATGTGATGGGAGAAATCCCAAGCCACAGGATATACTGTTTCTATCGCACGTTTTTCAAAAATATCATGTTTCTCTTTTCCCTAATCCCACTCTGCTGTAAGTACTCCCCAAGTCCCAAGTCTTGAATTAGCTACCATTAAAATTACAACAATTGTTATCCTTTCCCTCGGAAAAAAATGCCTCTCCCCGAGCCACCCAAATGCCCACGGTGAGGAGGGGATTTCAGGCAACGTCAGCAAACGTCCAGCACTAGACGTGTGCTAGACTAGCGATTCCCCGCTCCACGCTCAGCCCCAGGACTTGCTTTCGGACCCCACCAAAAGCCTTCCCTTGCGTCTCCCTGCACCCACGCTCCTGCTACTGGCATACCTCGAGCCCCTGAGACCAGAGCTATAAAAATCACTCAAACTATAAGAGACTCCAAAATACTGCACTTTTTTCAGGCCGTAACGCAGGGCACTCCCACGGAGAGCACTCGGCGGTGAGCTACCGCACGAGGGTTTTGCTGCACACCGCCGGGATAACCTCTGGACAACACTGCAAAGCAACCCAAGCCTCGGAGAGGGCATCCGAGACGCCCTGTCAGCAGGTACCCTCTGCCACACCAGGCCTCGCGCACAGGCAGGTGGGCGCTGGCAAATACGACCCTGCGGCGTCAAAATCGTCAGGAACGCTGCCAGTTATTTCAGTAAGAGAGCAGGATCTGACCTGGCGATTTTTATAGACGGGGTGAAATGGAAGCTCCTCTGCTGGCAACGGGAGTTGAAGCAGAACCTTTTTGTGTTGGCCGGGTGCGGAAAGTAGTGGTGGACCTATTTTATGGCTGTTTGTTTCTTCTAACGAGCTCTCCGGTGTGTTGTCCCTATAGTATCACACTGTACATAAGGCACGTGTAGGGTAACAAATCCCTTCTTGAGCAGCAGCTCTCTCGCACTGCGGCATCCCGGCCACTCGGGTAGTAAGATTAAGCAACAGCTTGCGAGGGGGAGCAGGCGTTGCTGCGGGAAAGAGCACGCTCCCCCCCCAACCGCCAAAGCTTCCCAGGCACCGTCACAGAACAGACGGGATTATCAAGCTGCCGTTTGCACTGAGCTGCCCGGCCGCGTCCATCCAGCAAAAACCTGCGTGCGCAAGGACAGGATAGGGCTGCGCTGCCCCATTTAGTCAGGGGGAATTTTGCCACCGACTAAACTCAGAAGCGGCAAAGTAGGACGTTCATGTCCGCAGAAAGCGAAGGAGAGGGTGAGGGCGGCACGCAGCCTCCTCGTACGACCGTGCTGGGGGGCGCGAGCGAGCCCCCGTTCGCAGCGAGGCACAGCCAGCCCCGGTGCTTTTCCCACAAGAGTCTGGGGGCTCCCCCGGGCTGGAGGGCGGCAGCCGCGTGCCCAGACACGGCTTTACGGTAGACCAGGAGCCCCGCTTTAAACAGCAGAGAGTCAAAGAACAGGAAGAGTATTTCAAAAGAAGTAGAGGGGTGGGTTATATTGATATTATTATCAATAAAATATTTTTTTTTTCCTCTTGCTGTCTCTATTAATTACTTTTTGTTCCGTAAAGCAGGGATATTATCAAGGTTGCCTATCTTCCGTTTTTAAACTGTTAAGAAATTCAGGAAGGCAGAAAAGCTAGATATTTTAAAACAACTAGGGCACTGAGTTTAGCTATTTTTCCCTTGGTGCACGTCCCTCTCAGAACAATTCTCTGTTGCAGGAGGTTCTGGGGGAAGCTCCGTGACCCATCGTACAGGGGCAGCTAGACTGGGCAATCAAACTGTGCCTTCTCGCCTTAATCTATCACTTCATTAGCATCTTCTGCGTGTTTGTATTACACGCATCCACGCAAACACAGACACACAGAAGATGAGGCTTCCCTGAAAGCTTTAGTAACAGAATTGAAAACTAAGTTTCAGGAGTTGTTTTTGGGTTTGTTCCTACACAACAAGGAGATATCCTACTTTTAAAGAACGGGTTTCAGTTGTCCTTCTTGAACGGCACTCAGCATCTCTAAACGTCTAGAAATGCTAGAAACATTTTCTAGGTAAAAAGAACTACTTTTTCCACGGTGGAGAGTCCATAAAACTGCGTGGAGCATCAGCTATTAGGGGCTCATTGAATAATTCATCCCTCATTGCAAGCCCATAATGTCTTTTCTCGGCCTTTTGTGGGGCTGTTTTCTCTTCTTTTCTCCTTGAATTATAAAAAGGTTGCCTTCTTTTGTTCACATCAAGCTGCTGCTAGCTGAAGCTTTGTCTGTGCAAAGCCAAAGTGTGAGTTTCAATGGACTCCCCCCTCTTTGTTTTCCAAGTTCATCTCCAAGTGTAGATTGTGTATAGAAGGCCTTCTTTGTAAAAGCTGGAAAAGTTGTACAAATGTTTGACCAGCTCATTTGGTACTTTTGTCTCGCCTTCACCAGTGCCTGTGCATGTGCTGGGCAGCCACTTCCACGCACAGGCCGCCCAACCGGGCCCTCGCCTGCCCCTCCACTCCGGCCCAGCCGGGGAGCTGGGCACAACCGCAGCGGGGGCAGCGGCTGCCCCCCCGGGAGCAGCCCTTCGCCTCCGCCTTGTTCAGGTTGCAACCTCCTCGCAGGCCCTGACCAACCACCAACACGAGCTTTTCCCAGCAGTTTTAAGAGGAGAAGAGACGAAACACGCGGCTCAACACGCGACACGCGGCTCCCTGCCCTGCTGCGGAGGGCCGCAGCCTGCCCCCCCCACCGCCCCTTCCGTGCAGCTGCGGCCTTTTGCTCGGCTTGGGCTGGCAAAGCAGCCCCTGCGCGGCCACGCTGGGAGCTCCGTTGCCAGCTCCAGCCCTCCCTGCTCCCTGGCCCCCGTCCCTGCTATCGAAAGCCAAACCAGTGGCGACCCCCATCTTTGCCCCCACCTCCGCGCCATTCCCGCACACTGCAGGGTCGTAGCGGTGGAGGAACGGGACGGGACACGGCAGCCGCCCCGTCGGGGCTAGCTCCTCGCCCTACACCTCCCGCTGCACCGGCCCCAGGGCGACCTCCGGGAGGAGGGGAGCGATACCCACCAGCACCCCGAGCTGGCACGGGCCGGTCCCAGGGCTCCACGGAGAGCGGGGAGAAATGGGACTTTACCTCTTTCGCTGAGGATGCCGTCAATGCTGTGCTTGGCCTTCTTGTCGCCTTCCTCCACCTCCTTCCTTTCCAGCTCGGCCTCCTCTTCCTCGCCTTTCCCAAACTTGCTCCGCAGGATGCGGCTGATGGAGCTCACTTCGGGGGGAGCGCAGCTGTGACCGCGGGCTCCTCCCCAGCAGCCCCCCGCGGCCGCCGGGCCGGGGGCCCGGGCCCCCCCACACCGG